TAGCAGTATCTATCCAATTCTGTAAAAAAATATTCATCTAAGAATTTCATCATTTGGGAATTTAGGGGGGGGGGGGGGGTGGGGGGGAGTTATAACCAAAAATACACTCAAAACCTTTTAATTCTAGCCCAACTAATTTCCAATGCACCGTCTCTGTTTATTCAACGTTTCCTTAGCAGTCAAAAATTTAGTTTCATAGTTTTCAGCTTAAATTATCACACTGACAACCTTTTCTAATTAGTTTCCTAATTCTGGGCTTACCTCGACATCAAAAAGTTTGTCTCCAATAAGGTTTTGTTTTGAAAACAAATTATAGATCAGAAACAGACGACAAAACATCAATTTTAAACATTTTAATACAAAAAAATGTTTAAGTTTTGAGTTTTTTTGGTATAAAATTACTCTCTTTATGGATTTGTTCACACTGGGTTCGCAACGAACTTGTTCACTTTGTTCAATTCATTTTGAAGTTGTCTGTTAATTCCAATTATCACTTGAAAAAAGTGGAAATACGCAGTTCACTGCAGTCCATAAGTTTCATAATTCCATTTAGAATCAAGAAACTTTTTGTTAGTTAGGAAAAAAATGTGATATAAGATATATTAAGTTATTTTAAAACATTTTTCCAGTTCTTTCTGCTGGTATTTTTTTGAAAGATTTATGGCCTCTGGTAGTTGCCAAAGTTTATTAGTAAAATCGAACTACGCAAAATCGTGACAGGCAGTCGTTTTGCCCATCCTAACTGGCATTCTCTAGGGCCTTCTGGGATCTACTTAACAAACCCCCTCCCCCTTGTAAAAGGAGGAGATTGTTAAGATGGTTAAACTGGTTGCTCTTTCGACCAATCAGAATGCAGCAAAATAAGAATTCTCAATAGAAAGCTCTTCTGATAGTTTACTGTATTAATTTATAGAGGTGAAGATTCTTTAGTATAGATCTCATGGGTAGGGCGGGAGGTGGCGATATTTTAGACAACCTCGTAGATCCGCGTAACTCAGACCAGGGGCGGATTTAGGGGGGGAGGCCCCTTCCCCTCAGGGATTCGACCCCCTGCCTGCCCAAAGGGTGCCTCCTTTGGTACTTTTAAGAAATCCAGTTTTGCCCGACCAACCTTAAAATTTTTCTAAAGGCGCCTTTGGCACCAATATATACTAATTTTGAGGGGGGAGCGCGCGCCGAAAAAACGCAATTTTTCGGTCAAAATTTTCCAAAAAGTGTCTAAAAACGCCTTTTTTGGATTATTTTTTCAAAATTTTGCCTGCGGCGCACAAATTTTGGCCAAAATAGGAATAAAACAGTGCTTTGGGAGAGCTCGAAAAGTCAATTTGGTCGACCTAAAAAAAAGGACGACAAAATTTTCCAAAATTTTTTGAAAATCCGCCCCGCCCTCGAGAAAAATCTAGATCCGCCCCTGTTTCAGACAACTTGTTTCGAAAAAGCATTAAAAAACCAGTATTGTTTTAGGATAGCCCTGTTTTTAGTCTCCCTAATTACAATTTTTTGCAAAATTACTGGCATTACTTTTCAAAAAGGGATTTTTTTGGATAGAAGTTATACCGGAAACATTTATTCATGAGAGAAACCATCTAGGCAGCATCTGTTTCTGATATTGAACTGTTACTAAAAATCTTTTTTGAAATCGGGCTATTTGTTGTGTTTCCCAAGAGGTCATTTTTAGTTGTTTTTAATAAATGGAGGTGCGATTGTTTAAAAACTGGCTAATTGACTCCTTTTTGAATTAATGGGCTTCTTTGAGCTCGCGCTTATAGTTTTTAATTTGAGATTCAATTGTTTGAAGGTGGCTGAATTGTCCTTTTTTGAATAAATGGCTTCTTTGAGCTCGCGCTTACAGTTTTTAAATTGAAATTCAATTGTTTGAAGGTGGCTGTTTTGTCTCCTTTTGAGATAATGACTTTTTTCTCGCAAATTGCGTACTTTTTAAATGAGCGTCCAAACATAATAGATGACCTAGTACAGTGCTTGCTGATGACATAATCGATAAAAAGAACTAAAATGCTTCAAACGCTTTTTAAATCACTCATTTAAAATATAAACGCTTTTTAAATTTTCTTGAATTGGGTGGGTTGACCATGGACGAAATTTATCAGAAAAGGACTTCTGCAAGATCTATAACGTTTTTTTTGTAAAAACTCAGACACCAAAATCTTCAACAAAAATTTGTTCATTTTTGGTGTTTTTACTCGATCAGAAAATTATGTTGAGACTTTTCAGTCAATTGTTAAACCAGTTATGTTTGCAAAAGGCTTTTTTATAGCCAATCAAATTTTATGAAGGGTACAACCTACAAAAATTTGCGTAAGCAACATTTATGTTTAATTGGTTAAAAAATGTTTAGTTATGTTTTTTAACTGCAGTTTTGCATATACTTCAGTGCACTCTACGCAAAATTATTAAATCAAACTAAACTTAGGATTGTTTTTTTTCGAAACAAACTTTAATGTTTCTCTTTAATTGACACCGTGAGATCATCTCGTTGGCCTCGAAAGGTAAATCAAACTTGTGTAGATACGATGATTCAACTGATGATCGGCGCCGAAAAATGCCGGTTTTTTCAATTTTTGGCAATCGCTCGGTCAACCCGAAGATCGGTGTGCTTTTCTTGGTGCTTCATTGACTACAAGAAACTCTGAAATTTGTCAAAAGGTTTCTTGTAAGGGCAGCTCTTCGAATGAGATTCCAGGTAGTTTGACAAGCACTCAACAAAGTTTCTTGAAAAAATTGTTGACAAGTTGTTTTTTGGTGGAACCGCCAGCTTTCGTTATCTCCAGAATGTCACCAAATCAAAAACACGAGCAACAGAGGTGTTGTTACTCTGGATACATGTCCAAAGGACCCTGTCTCTGCTTTCTCTTGTTTTGTGACAATTATGAAAAAAAAACGAGTTTGAAGCGGGAAAAAAAACAAGCTGATGTCACTGTCAAACTCAAGTGAGTTGAAATTGTAGACGCTTCTGTTTGTAAAGGCTGGACTCTGCAGAGATGAAAGATAATAATCTCTTTAGTGGCTAATGTCTTCAATGGCCGTAAGAGCTTTGAATTGCGAAGAATTGGCGTCTCAGAAGAAGTGCACTGGATGAAGGGGACCACGTCTTGGGTCCACTTGTGAAAATGACTGCATTGTTTCGAATCAAGCGGGTTAGAGGTCCTTAGAATTGGCTACTGGTCCGTCCGACCGAACATTCCGTGCTTGTTGCACAGCATTCGTCTACCCTTGCCACTAAATGATTCATTTTTTTTATAATTGGAGAATTGGATCATCTGCTTAAAGTTTTGAAGGTTATCCCCACGTGTTGAAGATCCGCCGTCGAGAAGCCATTCTAATTTATTGCCAATTTCAAAAAGTCGGTCGAAAAACTATGTAATATTTATTCATAAAAGAAATAATATGCTTCAAAACAACTTTTTCGTTCTTGTCTATAATGATGCAAAAATTTACCACTACAAAAATTACCAATTTTCTAATGAGTTTTTGTTTAAGATGTACTGGCTACGACTGTTATCTAATCAGATTGAAGTCAATTTTTCAATGATTTCATTTTAAAAATTGTTCCATTTATTTGAATATCCTTAAAAAGTTTGCGCTTGCCACGAAATGTTAAAGAAGACTGCTCGTATCAGGGCGAAGCCTTGAATGTTCCTACTGCCTTTTAAGGTTTATGGAGCAGTAACAACATGAAAAAATTAAATGTAATAGAATAGAATGAAAAAAAAAATCTAAAATTTGAAATTTTTTGATAAAATCATCCCCCCTCACGCCATAAAAACTACAAAAGAAAAAAATAATCATAGGTGAAATTTCTTTTCAAATTTAAGCTTAGGACAGCAATACTTTTGAATGATATAAGAAAATTCTGTCACAAACGGCTAATTAAAAAGTCGAAATTTGTCTGTAGAATAAAAAATCCCACCCCGAGCACAAATATTCCGTTTTTTTTTGTATCGAAAGTCGGAACAATTAGCTCTTTCCTTTGCTCTATTTGTTTCCTCGGGAATATTTTTTTGTTGTCCCGACTTTGTTACGAAAATAACGGAATATTTGTGCTCGGGGTGGGTTTTTTTTCTTCAGGCAAATTTCGACTTTTTAACTAGCCGTTTTTGACAGAATTTTTTCATATAATTCAAAAAGTATTGCTGTCCTGAGCTTAAATTTGAAATATTTCACTTGTGATTATTTTTCGTGAGGTTATGGGGGTTCAAATATTGCCATTTTGGCCAATGTGGGACAATTAACGCGCTATTAACGCGTACGGGGAGATTTAATCCGTTTTAAATATCGTTCCAAATTGAATGAAAGAAACTCATTTGCCATAATTGATTTGTTACTAGGAGCAAATCTGTCACTTTGTACTTTAAATGACATGTGGGGGGATGAGTTTCAGAAAAAATCTCAAATTTTATTTTTTTTTATTCAATTTTTTGTATAACATTGAACATTTTCATGTTATATTTTGCTTCATAGACCTCAAAAGGCAGTCGGAACATTCAATAGACCTCAAAAGGCAGTCGGAACATTCAAGGCTTCGTCCTGATGTGAGCACTTTTGTCTCTTTTCGTTTTAACTGGCCTAATTTTCGCAATCATCCAACTTAGTCAAGGGAAGCAGCTGCAAGCCAGGTTGTTTCCGGATGAATCGCCTCTGAGACGCATCCAGGTAGGCCTGAGTTTCAACTTCGTCTATTGATGTCTATTTAGTCTATTTAAGCGAGGCAAGAAAATTTTTTGTTATAGTTTTCTAAGCCTGTTTTGGTTTTCGGCGCACTCGAGAATTTGAATTCTGCAATTTTCCATAGGATTCAAACTGAAAAATCTGTCGCCCTGAAAAATGTGGCTAAAACTTGAGTCAACGACTGGAAGGAGTAGCTCATTTTTATTCAAACAATATGAAGTTATGCGGCAGAATAGTGGTTGCCGCTGTCGCGCGAACGTTTTGCGAGCTTGCCAACAGAGGACAGAATACTTTCTGATATTTAGAGTCAAAACTTGAGAACAGATAGATTATTTTCTCTGAATTTATATTTAAAAACTGATGCATTTTTATATAAATTTCAATAAACTGTTTTTTCTTCAAATCTTCAACTCGCCACGAATAGTTCAGTTAATTCTTTCCTTCGTTCCGCCTGGTCGCTCGCGAGGACTCGTTTGTCTCTTTTCGGTTCAACCGGCCGAACTTTCTCGGCCATCCCACTTAGCCGAGAGAAGTAGTTGCGAGCCAGGCTGTGTTTCTGTCTGATTCGGTTCAAAAACACATCTCGATAGGCCTGAAACACACCAACAGCTTATAAAAAGACAACTTTTTTTGTTTGCTATAGTTGGTAAAGTTAAGATTATTTAATCTTCGATTTCATATCTCTTAGTATAGACCTGGACTCTTTAAGTTCCCAGCAGAGAATTCTGAATTCTCTAAGATTGCCCTGGATTGTCTAAGTTTCCGACAAGAATTCCATAACTTTCCTTTAGCTAGGTACCACCCCATTATCCAGATCTACTCAACAATCCCCCCCCCCGTCTCTTTAGTAAAGGGGAGCGATTGTTACGTAGATTAAGCTAGTCGAATCAGCTTGCAGAAAAGTTCGAATTTTAAATACAACGCTCTAAAGCTAGCTTACTGCTTTCATTTAAAAAGTGTGGCGGCAATTTGTTAGTAGATATCATACGAGTGGCTTTTGGGATCTACCTAACAATCTCCACCCCTATCAAGGAAGGGGGCAGATTCTTAAGTAAATTGAAGTGTCGAGTGTTCGACCAATCAGAAGGCAGCAAAATTAGAATTCTCAATAGAAAGCTCAGTGCTAATTTACTGAATTTATTTATAAGGGTGGACATTCTCAAGTAGGGGGGGGGGGGGGATTGTTCAGTAGATTCCCCATTGTCCTTACCTGTTCGAGGTTCTCGATGCGTTCGTGTGCTTGTGCCTCTTCTTTGGTGAGTAGAATACAGTTCCATGGACTCCACTCGGTGTACTTGTTCCACCGCACTAACACCAGGTCATAGAGGTCATCCCACTGGCTCAGGGCACTCTGGCCTCCCCAGATGTTCTCCACCAGGTACTGCAGGTCCTGCTCCTACAACGTCAGAAATTTTTTTTAAAATTTTCCCGCGACCGAAAATGGTGAACAACAAGGAGACAGGTCTGATCTAGACAGGGACCTTATTAAAAAAGGCATTATGGCAGGTAACGAAGTGAGCGAATTAATCGGTAAACGAATACCTGATTCACTACTTGCTTGCCCTCAAACGAATGTAAGACTATTCGCAGGATTAAATATTGATTCGAAATTCGGCTAATTTTTTTTCGTCTAATTGAGCGCCTTTGCTTCTGATAGGTTTAAGTTATTGTCTCTCAAAAAATCCTATCAACTTCACTGTCTGGATCAGACCTGTCTCTCTGTCATTCACCACAAAATCTTCAGTGGCACCGAAATTACATAACGAGGCTTTTGATTGATTGATCAAAGTCGCAACAATCAGTCGCGAAAAAAACCGCAATATAGCTCTCATCGATCGCGCAGTCCCGAAAATTGGATGACTCTTTTTTCAACGTCTAGAAATTTGTATCATCAAATAATAATAACCCCCTCCCCTCCTCACCACCAGACACTGGTTGTTTCACTTCGTGGTTCAAAACGGGTTTTTTCTGTTATACAGCCCGAATTATCAAACTGTTAATTGATCTTCTGTTTCCGTAGAAAAGCCTGAGATTTTTTTTTCGCTGCTTTTAATTTCAACCAATCAGATTCTAGCGTCAAGATGAAATTTTTAAAATGACAAACAGAAGACTTTTTGGGCCGTGTAACAGAAAAGACTCTTCAAAACTTGCTGGAGCAAAAATGCAGAAAAGAGTAAAACTGCAGAAAAAAGTAAAATTTCAGAAAAAAAAGTAAAATTGCAGAAAAGAGTAAAATTGCAGAAAAAAAGTAAAATTGCAGAAAAGAGTAAAATTGCAGAAAAGAGTAAAATTGCAGAAAAGAGTAAAAATTCAGAAAAAAAGTAAAAGTAAAATTGCAGAAAAGAGTAAAATTGCAGAAAAGAGTAAAATTGCAAAAAAAAGTAAAATTGCAGAAAAAAGTAAAACTACAGAAAAAAGATCAAAATTGAAGAAAGAAAAAAATTGATGTTGTAAAAGCTGGATAAGTTTGATACCTGGAGAAGCAGTGCAATTCTGGAGCCATCTGCGACCTTCTCCTCGTTGAGTCGGAGTTGTCTGAGCATGTAGACGTAGTGACTGTAGTCCTGTCTAGTGCGAGCATCATTGTCGATCTTGCGACAGCTGCGACACTTGCCTTAAGACAAAAAAAATAACTCCATTATAAGTTGAAAAACTTCTGCTGTCCGTTTTTTATGTTCACTTCACAAACTTCATAAAAACCTTCGAAGATATAATATTTTATGGGATCCCAAAACTCGGTAAGTGATGATAAAAAATCATCGCGAACTGCAAAACTTTTAAAACATCTATTTTTTGTGCAATTTTTGATAATTTTTGGGCGCCTTATCTTTTTAATGACCAACAACATAATTTGAAAAACTTTCCGCTAATGAAAACCCTATTTAAACAAAACCGAACAACCAAATCTTAAGAAAATCAGTCCGTTTGTTTAAACGACGCTGTTTAACCGAAATTGTTTGGACACTCGTGTAATCCTTCTGTGTTAGCTTCCTCATTAGCTTCAAAACATTGGATAGGCGCACAATTTTGAGTCGGTATGTTCCTGGATTCCAGAGACAAGTATTCAAACATGTTTAAACTTTGTCGGAACAATCAAAGGCTCTTTTTCTTATAACCCCCCCCCCCCCCCCCCACCTCACAAGAGCTTTAATATATTAGCGTAACGAGTGGTTTCACGAGGTTAAGTATGAAGACCAAATATGTTTTTTGTGGCCTTATTAGTCTGTATGTAAATTTTCATAACAATCGGACAAGAGCGTCCTTGTTGTGGAATCCACTTACTATTCACAAAATGCACAGTTTGGCCTCGTAATGAAGACTTACCTGGGGATGCACTGTTGGAGGAGAGGGGGAATTCGGTGCTGGGCAGGTAGAGGCCGCAACTGGGGCAGTGATACACCCCCTTCCTCAGGGTGGAGGGGTCCTGCGGAACCTGCAGAAACACCAAGGAATTAAAATAAATGGAGACTTTTCTCTTTGTATCCCTCAAAAATTTATAGCTTTGGCCGGTAATATAAAAATGTATGTGGGGCGGTGGTGGGGTTATAATTATCTTATAACTATAGGTTGGGGAGGTTCTTGGGTTGAGGGCTTCTTGGGAAGGGGGGCGGGGGCTACAAAGGGGAAGAGCCTAAAGAGGTCTTATCTTGACCGTGGATCAGGACTAGGAAGTAGTCACATCATTCAACTAAAAAAAAATCAATGCCACATTTTGATCTGAGTAAGAATTTTTAACACCTTATTCTTTGCTAGGAAGTTCATTTATAATCAGAGGCCAATTTTAGACAAATGAACAACTTTCTGGAAAGATTTTTGCACCTAAGTATTGATATTTTCTACAACTGGGAGAACTGAATGGGGGGAGGGGGAAGGGGGAGGTGGGATGGGGGTTGTTGGTGAAAGAAGGTCAGGAGCACAGCAATTACCTTTATAAGTCTGGCCGCTTCTGGGTTGAATGCGGGGGTCTTGCAGTACTGGAGAAAGAGAGTCGAGATTCGCTTGCGGAGTCCCTCCAAGTTGTCCTCCTTCACACCTCGCATCAGCAGGTCTGCCTCCCGGTCGATCAGTTCGACTATTTCTTGGGATAACTTGCAGTCGTGTTCCTGGAATCGACGCAATCTTTTCAAGTTACTCATATCTGCAATTTTAGAAACTTTTGTTTATATTCTCATTGTCCTATAAGTGCTTTTATGTGTTGTGAAAAAGAAAAAAATCGAGCTTAACAGAGCTTTTTCGAAGAAAAATAATAGACATTAGCTTATGCTATTTTAAAATGTCACAAATTAAGTCTCGCAAATTGAATAAAAATCTTGCAAGAATCTGGCAAGAGAAAAGCCAGAACATCTTTTTTCCTGCAAGATTTGTTGCAGGGTAATCATCCAAGATCAATATCCTTGAAAAAATTGAATGAATATCCTTGAAAAAAAAAATTGTAGAAAAGATTGAAGCATGAAAAAATTGTAGAAAAAAGTTCGAGTTTTATTTCAAGTTCACTGAGGCAAAGGACATATGAAATTAAAAACTGTTCTAATTTTATTCTAATTATTTAATACTTAGGTATGATGTTAATGTACACAAGTTTATCTCGTTTCACTAATTAGCAAGCATGAAATGAAATATTTTCCTTAATTTATGTACACATTAGTTAGCAAGATAGATGTGAAAAGTGAAATTTGATCTAAGAGCTAATATTTTTTTTATAATTAATGGGTTGTAATCACGTGAAATCAAGGAAAAAGGCGGGTTTCGATTGCGGTGTAAATTTCTTTCTGAAATAAAGGCCTTATTTGTCTGGCATGTTTGTTTATTAGTATTCAACAATTAGTAGGGTCTAGGTTTTTCACGATGGATGATACGGATTTTCAGAAAAATGCAGCCGTTTTTTAATTTTTTTGGACGACTATTTGGTTTCCTGATTTTCATTCAGCAACTGTTCAAATTTAATGTTTGCCGAAAAATTTTTTTCGTGCTTGTAAAATCTGATTTATTTTAACATTATGTTTTGAAGGATTTGCTCAGAAATGAGTATGTTTCAGCACTGATCAGAAGTATTTTGATCATATGACCAGAAGAAAGGTTTTTTGATTTGAACCTTTGAGTCGTAGAGCAAGAGTGTTCGGTTGCTGTGCTTAGAGTCTGATTTTTTTAAACAACAGTAATCACAGCAAAAAAATTAATCAAAAAAGATTCTTTTTTTGTTTTTTTTTGTTTGAATTCACCTTTTTTTTTTAAAACGAGGTAGATTGAATTTCAGTATCAAAATAATGATAAAACTGACAGATTTGATTTATAGCAAAAAATTAAATTACTAAATAGAAGAAAGACAAAATTAATAGCACAATTACACGTCTACACGAAATTCCAGAACCGTAGTTTTTTGACATTATGATAAGACATTTTTCGATATGTTTTTTCTTCTCGTCCTCACAGGAGCCAAATAACGGCTAACAGTTCTATTTACTTCTATTGTATATTATAGTATACTATACAATAGGGTGGTGTATAAACCAGCCGAAGTATCAACCACCCGAAAATACGTAAATGTTATAAAAGTTAGTTACAAACTAACTAACAATTAAAAATCAAGCAAGTTTCATTCAAATGGCGCAACGTTCGGCTGTTTTTTACCTTCCTTAAGATAATTTCAAGATTGTCCCCTCTTTAACCCCACGTTATTTAACCCCTAGTTTTTATATCCCCTACTTTATAACCCCGTAACAAGATAACCCCACAGCAATTTAACACCCCTTTTCAAATTAAGTCCTTTTTATATTTACAGGAGTGTTCCAATCAGGTGTACTAATTGAGGACTGAAAAACGGGTCCTAATTCACTTGATGCATCTAGCATCTCAGAAATAATTAAATTTCGGTTAGTAAGAGAAATAATCCCTCATTCACGATAAAATACATGGTGCTAATTGAAAGCAACTCAAGAAGTTTAAGAAACGTACATAAAATCATACTGCTTTGCACTTGAACAATTGTTTTAACATTCTCTGCGCTAAACTGTTTGAAGCGTCCTTCCATTTTACTTTATCCTTCGAAGACAAACGAATATTAGTTGTATCAGGCCACGAGTTTTATCTTAAACGTAAGAACAAAACCACTACTAACTGGAACTGCTCAAAATACCAGAATCATAAATTCAGAGCAACTACGGTTGGTGATAATTTTGTTCAAACGAGGGTTAAGCAAAATCCCGAAATATCAACGGCAAACCTGATGCTTGTCTAGTTTTGAAAAATATCAAGGACTTGAGCGAGAGCAAGACTCCGACCGTCGCAGTCGCCACAGCAATTCAGCCAATAACAGTTGATCTTGTCACTCAATTAGCCTCACCAACTAATGAAAGTTTAGTTCGAATTGCACAATACATGCAAGCAACGATAACAGGTTTTAACAGTCTCCCCAGCAACAAAAAATTTCAAATACATGAACTATTTAAGAACTTTGATAGATTTGACAGGGGATAAATTCATCACGAAAAGATTATTTTATTCGGCGACCCAGACAAGGTACACGCGCTCGGAAAGTCAAAATTTGGGTTGGCTGATAGAACTTTCAAAATTACCTCTAAATTGTTTAATCAACTCTACTCTATGTATGTTAGTCTTTCAGGAACACACCCTGCTTGCATATATGCCTTCTTACCAAAAAAACGGAAAAAACATACCATCGTTTCTTAGAAGCCCTAAAAACTTAACCCCTGACAGTAAACCTGAAAAAATTTTGTTGGTTCTCATGCAGGCCGCTCTTCGAGCGTTTCGAAAAAAGCTTCCCAGAGTCCAAGCTATCTGGATGTTTTCATCTTGCGGAACTAAATGAGAAAAATTGCGGAACTCGGATTTAAAAAGGAGTAAGACATAAACCACGAGCTTGCCTCAGCACTTAAAATGTTACCCTCACTGGCTTTCAAAAAAAAGATGAAATAGTTAATTCGTACAAAAAAATAGTCGAGCAAATCAAGTAGCATGCGAACGCACCATAAAAGAATCGGAAAAAATTGCGGCAAAAATTGACGAAATCTGCCTGTATTTGGATCTAATTACATAAAAAGTCCAGTCCCGAACCAAGGAGTCTTATCCTTTCTTCACTATGGAACGAAAGAGATGCGGCAACATCCGGTTTGTTTGGCAAGTACAAAAAATGCTGTGGAGGGTTGGTGTTATGGCATAAAGTCATATTTTAAGGTTCACACTCTAGAGTTTGGAAAGTAATCACAAGCTTTCGAAAAGACGCTTCCCCTCAAAAACTTAATTTCTTTAACGCTTCAATCGAGCACCAATATACAAAAAAAAGAAAAAGTATCGAGTCCTACACAGAAAAATGCAGAATATTAAGCAGGTTTACAAAGAGAAAACTGAATTGCATTTCTTTCGCGCTATGGCGAACTTAAACTAAACATTTGTTCATTAGTTATTTGTTTATAACTTAAAATTAAAATGTTGTTTAACATTTTTTTGAGAAAAGACGTCTACTTGCAGCCTCCCGGAGACGTACAAAAATGCATTGTCTTGAAGTGCATTTGAAAAATGCTGTCTTTAGCATTTTAATCCGGGAACAATCGCTCCTTCGATGGGACGCTAGCTTGGGTCTAGGGGCTGGCAAACCCTTCACACATTGGATTGTAAGTCGACAGTTCAAGAAAAAATTGACAAATGTTAGATGGTTCAAAAAATTAGTAAAGTTTTACTTTAAATAGATTGCCATTTGAAAAAAACTTAGATTAGATCAATCAAAGTTTTGGTCACAACCAGTTTTCATTCCATAATTCCTATAAAATCAGCCAAATACATTAATATTAGTAGGAATATTTTCAAAATCAAGTTCAATTTTGCAGAAATCTTATCCTTTTTGGTTATAATTTGAATATTGCCGATCGGATTGGTTTTCAAATTCATATCAAAATCATAATAAAGTATCATATTATCCTAAAAAGATAATCATAATGATGAAAAAATACTGCATTAAAAAACTAAAATAGTTATTTGGGCGCATCTTAACCGTTTGTTTGTTTTGAAAAGATAATCATAATAAAATATCATGTTATCCTATAAAAATAATTTAAAAATGATGAAAAAATACTGCCTTAAAAATACTAAAATAACTATTTTGGCGCACCTTAACCGTGTGTTTGAGAGTGAGTAGAATGTCCAGTCTCTCGTCCTGAGTGAGATACTTCATGTTGATGCTGTTGTAGATGTCCTTCAGCTGCAGTGCACGCAAAGTGTAGGGCGTGTCCATCTCCGTCATCTTACCATCTGCACCCCTCCACTTTTTTGGCGCCGACGCCTGAACAAAAAAACTACACGTGATGGTCATATGATCAAAACAGACAGGAACATAAAGACGCCTGTGAATAAAAATTATTCGAGATCGTCACGTGATCAAAGCATACAAACATAGTCTGTTCTCATGCGCGAAAAACGAATGCGCAAAAATTTTTCATTTTTTGCTTACTTTCTTTAAATTTATGAAAATTGATTTATGCTTGGCTGACAAAACACAATTAAATTGATTCGTGATGGTCATGTGATCAAAAAATATAGAAAAACACAATCAAAAACAATCATAATTGAATAATATCTCTAAATTGAAAATCAAAAATAGAAAAATTATTCAACCTTAACACTTTTTGTCGTCAAAATTACAACAACAAAAAAGGTTTTCGGCAAAATTTTGATTACTCTCAAATAAATTCTTAAGTTAAGGTGGTTTAAGTTTCTTTGACAAAATTTTATGTGACGAGCCAAATATTTGAGACCATGTCTTGCAATAAGCCATGGCATAGTTAATGCCAAATTAATGGCAATTTAGGTAAGTTTGAACGCATCAACTATTTCATTTTTTTTAGTTTACGACAGTTTTTGGTTTTCCTTACGTCCTTTTCTGTCTCATAAATGCTAAACATTCTCTTATCTTTCATCTTGATCAAGGACACCCTTCAGCATTTCAAACAATAACTACAATTATAAAATTATAACTAAGCTTTTGGACGTTTTCTAATGCTTTTGAAGTAATTCTGACAACTGGGATTGTAAAATGGCATTAAAACTCAAACAGAATTGCATTAAATTCACAAGGAGCAGGACAAACTAATGGTTGTTTTTTTTTCTCAAAAACATCCATTTTTGTATGTTTTTAGGCGACAAAGTCAAAAACCTTCTTCGAATAACAAAAATTGTAGATTAAGTCAAATTTTAAACCTTTTGCACATTTTTATGGAAAAAATACTTTTATGGAAAATGTTGCTAAACTGCTCAAGAGATCCATTTTAGAATAATTTGCTCAGCATTTAGCTCAACGGTTTTAGTATAAACTTAAGCTGAGTTTCATTTTTATTTTTGGAATATGCTTTAATTTACAAACTGTTGCATTATAACCCGTACGTAGTAAATAGTCTGATTCCAATCGGAAATAATCTTTTTCAGATCCAAATTTCATGTCTGAAATGTGTGGTGAAATTTTAAAATAAATCTTGGATACTTTAGGAATGGGCTGTTTCAGACCTAGTCTCAGATCTGAAAATTTCTTTCTCTTGTTTATTTCAGATCTGAAAAATCAATGGTTCCGACACAATTTTTGCTATTCTTGATACTTTTTAGCTGATAGCTTCTGCTAGCCACTAGCACTTACTCAACAATGCCTCCAATGGAAAACTGCCAATTTTTTCCTCAAGCATGAAATATACATTCCAAACGCAAAATAAGCGCGTGAAAATATAAAATTGATTTTTTTTATCACAGTTGAACAAGAAGTTCAGTTCAAAAAAAGCTCTTTGTGAAACTATTCGGAAGTTTTTTTCTACCACTGCTTAATCTAAATATAATTGTGTATTGCAGAAAAATAAAAAAAAATCAGTTTTTTGCTCGAAGTGCATAGATTATAATTTAACAAAAAGTTTCTCAGATCTAATTTCAGGTCTGAAATTTTGTTTTTCAAGATTATTTCAGATCTAAAAGACTATATTTTTTATCATGATTTAAAAAAAGAGTTACAGATCTGAGAATCAACTTAGCTAAGAAACAAAGAATTTCAGACCTTGCACAGAAAATTCCCTGAGCAGGGGAAATTTGATGAAATGGGCACAGGAAGTTTGAATTATATCAGTTTGGACTAGAAAATAGGTAAAATTTTCCAGGTTTGGAGTTTTCGGGTGGGATAATCTATATCAACTTTTTATTGTTCCAACTTTCAAAAAATGAGCATTACATATGCCTGGGGTTACCTTTTATTGACCGATTTCACAAATATTGCGAATGGGTTTGATTCGAAAATCTTTGGTTTGCCAAGAGAGTATGCTAGCACTAGGTACAACAGCGAATGGCTGTGCTGCTCGAAAATACATTAAAAGTTTCAATGCCCAAATTGTTGATGCGTGGCAAATTAGCCGTACTTTTCGTGCCATTCAAGACACGATAAGGTGCTTATGAGAAAAAAAATTGTGGGAACCGAAGGCCAAGTGCGACATTCGGGATTTCAACGAACCGTCCAGTGCAACAAAATCAGAGAGTTATTGCCGGGAGAGTACGGAATCAGAGGCTTGATGCCCAGAGACTCAAAAAACTTTAACGATATTTTAGCTGCTATAATATCCTGAACGTATTGATTTCCATACAATTTTATTTTAGTATTTGAAAGCAAGAGCAGTTACAGTCGAGTAAAAAGTCAAACCATCTCAAATAGAATTAGTGTATAACTGTCACTAAGTAAATCTAATTGTGGTTTTCTAGCCAGGTTTTTAATAGTAATCACGTTGTCTGAAGACCCGAGACCAAGCTATGTGGGGTTATATTCTTGTTCGTTACAAGGAAATCTAATCAAAAGTCGTTGGGCTGATGGCCTAAAAATGGTAACATAAAGTTAGTCCTTAAACAGACCAGAAAAGGAACCGGCTAGGTCAAGACAGTCAAAAACGAGTAGGATTGAGGTAACTGACGTCAGCCAGTCGTCAATAGGGACTTTTTCTACGCTCCGTCACTGTGTTTGGTCAAATTTTACACTTATAATTGTTCCCAAGTGAATAGAGGCAAGCTTATTGGTCTTATTATTTAGTTACACAATTCAAATGTCAAAAATTGAAACTTGATTTAATCAGCCTAAAAAATGTAAATTGTCAATGTTCAAACACCAAAAACTATCTGGCGAATTTAACAGCAGTCAGAGCTTTTAGGGTTTTGCCCTGATAAGAGCACTCTTGTTTTAAAATAGGTCTAGCTTCAGAGACAAAATGGTTTCAAAACAGGGTTAAAAAGCAACTATATCTTAATTATTTTGTTGGACTTTAATGACCAAAAAAAAATTTTCCTACTCATAAAAATTTACTGTGAATCCAGTTTTCGAGAAATTGAAGAAGTAGTATGAAAAGCTGGCTCTAGATTGAATCCTTTCAGAAGTCTCCTTAGAAGACTCCTTACTTGAATTTTAGAACTCATGATATAGATAAAGATTATGCAAGTTTTATCATTAAGTTTGTATTCTCGTTTCAAAAGAATTGACAAAAATCATAAAACTACCACCCGATATATTTTTTAGTTGTTTCAGAGCTAGTTTTTAGAGCTGGTTTGCATTATCGAGTTTGCATTCTCGTTTCAAAAATCATTTTGTCCATAAAATCTTAGGATATTTCTTTTGTTAACAAGAGCGTTTCACAAGAATCTGATCATTAATCTTAAAAATTATAAGAGCCGGGTTACTTCGCAGCCTACTAATTTCTTCATGGTTAAAAGTCTGTAGACTTTGCATTTTTAGAAGTTTAAGTAGACTTAACGAAACACATATGCTCGAAGTGTTTTTGCTCTTCAGACGAATTTGATTCTTCTAAGAAGCATTCCACCAAAGTCTTAAGTACTAACTGGAAAGCAGCAATGCTTTGAACTCAAAGTTTGTTTTACTAAATCATCTTCGATCTTTTTTGGTCATTTTGGGTTAATAAATCTGCGCAATACTACCAGTTAACTGCTAGCTCAGAGGTATCCGTTCATTCAGCTTAGATGTCATTCCAAACGGTAGATAAAATAATATTCGATGTGCCAAAACACAAATATTTTGACTTAAAAATATTTTTTATGCATTACAATGTGTGTGTGGGAGAAACATCTCAGAAAAAAATGTATGAAAAACTAACCCGCGCTCAGTAAAAAATGAAAATAAACGATTATGCTTCAAATATAATTGTACTTTTACCAATTGTTTTTAAAAATTTTTAGCGCTATTTTTAGAGTATTATGATTCATTATAATGATATGACGGAATTATAATATAATTTATAGAGACTTTCAATAAAAATCTATTATAATCTAATTTTTTCTCTTTTTACTGAGTGCGGGAATGCTTTTGTTCCGATTCATTTTTAAATAAATTTGAGAAGATTTCTGCAGAAATCTTAAAGCGCTTTCAAAATGTTTAAAGCTGAGTGCCACGGAATATTTGTGCGCGGGGTGGTTTTTTTTCTGTGCTCGGGGAGTTTTTTGTGCTCAGTGAGTTTTTGACAAAATAATTTTCAATCAACCGAAAGATATTGACGTCCTGAGCTCAAACTTGAGAAGATAATTTACCTGTGATATTTTAAAATAAAATTATGAGGGTTTAAAAATTGCCATTTTGGCCCATTAGGGACAATTAACGCGCGATATAATTCGCGGTATTAACGCGTAAAAGGAGATTCAATCCCTCATAAAATTTTTCCAATTTGGTTAAAACAGGCTAGTTATCTTTAATAGTTTTTACGCTACTAGGAGCAGTATCTATCTTTTTGTAACTTATATGGCGTGTGGGGCGATGATTAAAAAAACTCAAAAGTTTTTTTTTTCTTTTTTTTTCGAATTATTTTTTCACGATTTTTTTTATGTGAACACTTCTTCATAGACCTTAAACGACAGCCGAAACATCAGTGCTTTGCCCTGAAACGAGCGGTCTTACTTTTTTTCATTGCTGCATAGAAATATATAAGAATATGAATGCGTTGATTAATGAACTTGTTTTGTGATGAAAGTTTATAAAAATCGAAAATTGAAAGTCAGTCATTTGACACGGACCAGACGACGCCCCCAGAAGCACACTCAAATGAATGAATATGGTTGATCAAGTTAATTCAGTTGATTGGTAAAAAAAATTATAGCTAAATAATTTGATCAGTCTGCGTGAACAAACAGTATCAAAAAGCAGAGCGTCAGTCCAATTCTATTTGCCATTTAATGATATGGGCGGATTTGGCAAGGGACAGAAACAACCCGCCACCCTTCACAAATGCAACTATTTCGTTGCTTTTTGATTAAGTTTACGGCATCAAGTTGGAATAATTCAATTGTCAAAGGTTAGCTTAATTTAGACAAAAAAGTAACTACAATTCCAAACGGAGCTCGAAAAATTGGCCAGCTGAAAACTTCAAGATAGATAATTTTGATTTTATATCATCAGCAAAACTTTCGTATGCCGTGCATTGCAAATTGAGTTTATTAAAATTTAAGCAAATTTGCAAACTTATTACGCAATTTATGCAAATATATTTAAATTATAAATACAAATTTTATATTTTATTATAGCTCAAAGCTTTATGACCTAAAACGTATTTCACTATTTTATGGCTACAAAAAAGCCCGTTATCAAAATCAAATTCAAATTTGTGTATAAGTGTATGTCTTGAGAAAGAGAGGGAAGGTATTTGGATGGGGGGGGGGGAGGGGGGAGGGAGGGTTAAGAAACATGTTGTAAGAAATGTTGACCTTTTCTAGGAATGTCATGATAGATTTCTCCTTGTTGACTTTGTCGGAGTCGTTTTTGTGTCGGTTGATGGCTGCTATCAGCTGTGTTTCCTGTTCCAGCAACATACTCAGAGCAGCCTTCTTCTGGGCACCTGTCAGATTGGCCTCGATCTCATTTGTCTCCTCGATACGCCATTCTGAAATTATGATCAACTGACATGATTAAACTTAACCAGGGGTGTGTTTATATGGTGATGGGGGTGGTGTTTATGGGGAGGACGCGAAGGCCCTGTCTGTTTTTTGTTTAAGAAACTTGGGAAAATAAAATTTTCAATGTGTTTTCAGAGAGCTCGGAAAATCAATTGGATCAACCTTCAAAAAAAGTCTGCGAAATATTAGAACAATTTTTGAAATCTGCTCTATCGAAAAAATTCTAGACCCGCTGCCCCGAAACCTATTGCTACAATTATAACCTGTTGAGAAAATTTTTTTCACGAGGAGCTCAAAAGCGCAAGAAAACAGTTTCAAAAACTGCTCCCAAATATTTGCACGCTTCGCCAATAAAATTTCTTTTAGGGATCAATTTAAGTTTTAGGAACCCAACTATCACAACACTTTTTACCATTATAGCTCTCTCAATGTAACCATTCCGCATCAAAATATAGCCCCCCTCTTAATACAAAAATACTATTGCTATGGACTATAATGGGATAGTGCCCATTTACTAGGGAAGGGGGGGGGGGGGTTAAAGTATTTTGGGAAGCAACTCACTCTCTAGTGCGTGGAAAAGTAGATCGAAGTCTTCTTTCGACTTGGGGTTCATGCGTCTGTCGAACTCTTTCTTAATCCTGTCCTCTTTCTCCTTCTGCTTCCTTAACTCCTCCTCCCTCTCCCACTCTAGTCTGGTGTCCCTGTCCTCTCTCAACCCCTCCACCAGGTTCCTCGAGGCCCACCGGCGGAAGTAAGACTGGATCACCACCGTCTGCAGAAAAAAGAAAGAAAACTAAACTCATTTTTTAATCATTGAAAAATCAAATTAAATTTAAAATACTGGCATAATTATAAAGATGCTGCAATCTAACCCAGTGAAAAGTTTTTTTGTTCAACAAGAATAAATGTTTTAGGGAAGTTGAAGTTATGAAATATATCAATGTGAACAAGTTAACAGATTTGAAAACTTTTTCAACGCAAATCGCCGTATGAATGCTTCAGGCAAATTAAATTTGTATATTTCAACAAGCCTGTTTTTTGATCGCTTTTAAAAAGTTAGGAAAAGATGCCATAATTTCCAGTCATTAGCCAATCATTTGCGGAGTTTTGTGTTTTGATGATTTTTTAATGTCCTTGGATTTCAAGTTTTTTCTCCGCAATCACACCTTTGCTAAATTAGTGCATATTATCAAATAGGCAACATATTTGGACTTTTTCCGAATTCGACAATCAATCAACTTAATCGACTATAGATCCTAGAATCTGTATTGAGTTTTTATCATGAGCATTTATTGAATTTTCTAAAACGGCAGATTTTTGAGAATTTTTGAAGAATTTTTCGACATTTTTCTTAGTTGACCAAAAGTAATTTTGAAACTCAATTTTTGAAACCCGTGAAGCAAAGATTCAGCGAGTCAATTTAGGCAAAAAGTTTTTAGCGTATTGTTAAACTATGCTCATAAAAACGGTCCAATATAACAGTATATAGCTATTATTATAGCTATATTTAAATGATAACATAATAATAATTGTCAATAACCCGCAACCAGTTTCAAGCGTTAATAATCGATCATTTTATGATTTTAGTACCACTCTTAATAAAATTGAAAAAAAAACTTATAACCAATTAATAATCGATTATAATATTTCTTTTTCAAATCCAATTATACTCAATTATAATACATATTAATCGATTATTGATCCTTCTATTTTCGATAAAGTTATAATTGATTGTAATCGATTATTTTAATCCCAGTTTCTAATTCATATGTTACACACTGAAAATCCATTATAATCGATTATATTCGATTATGATCACTTTTGTTGCCCATTTTGTATCAGACCTTGCATCCGATTTGCTAATTTTTTATGCTTTTCGTAGACGTTGGTTTATGTGAAAATTGAGAGAAGTATTTTAAACGCTTTCAAATTAATTCTAATTTATTTTTTTTTCTAATTTCTCCATTGAAGTAGGTTCATAATAGACATCTTAATTTTTTTGACCACCAAAAACTCAATACATTGCTTTAGCTTCATGATTTACTCAGAAGACTTGTTTTTCACACAACGCGGGAACCTTTCAACTAATACGAAAGGATCTCATCCAAACTTTTGTTTCGGGGTAAAACATTGTGTTCAGATGAACTAAAGTGAGACAAGACATCTCGTTTTTAGAAATTTTGTTATTGACAGAAAAGTTTTAAACCATGGGAAATAAATAAATTGTACTTTTGATGTTACGAAATCTGACAAAATAAGAGAAGATAATCGATTATAATCGATTATAATTGATCAAAAGAGTTTTTTGTATGAACTGTTATTAATTATAATCGATTCTATTAGATTATAATCTGTTGGAAAAAATCATGATTATAATCGATTAAAAATCCTTTAAACACCTAATTATGGTAATTAAAATAGAAAAAAGTTGTCAAAAACTATCATAATAATCCGTTATAATCGATTGCTTACGCCTAAACTTGGATGCGGGAACTATAATACATGCTATAATGCTCTCACCGCGTCTTTCCGCTTGCCCAGGAACTGATCGGCCGTCTCGTACCTGCCAGGGGTCATGAGTTTGTCGGTCTGGTTGGACACATACACGTCAACACCTGTCATCTGAGTGGAGGTGTGATAGTGAGTCTGCTGCAACTCCTGCTTCTCTTCAACTGTCTGAGTGTCCCGACAGAACCTCGTCTTTCCTGAGTAGGTAAATATATAAAAAATAGTTAAGATATTCTAACTAATCGTGTACATTTTATGAATATATAATAAAATGTTAAGATATTAACTAAAGATAGAGTGAGAGATTCGTTTTTAGTTTGATACAAAGTTAGTTGGCAAAATCAAATCAATTATCCATGAGTGTAGCTCCAAATTAAATTAACATCGAATAGGTTTCTCATCTTTTGTTAACACTTTAAAGAAAAAGTTTCATCGTTAAGTTTCATTACAATAAAAAAGTTTATATAGTGATTGTTTTAAGTTCAAAGTCAAATCTGAATTTTTGTTTTGTTATTGAAAACGACATGGTCCCGGATCTTTAGCACATTAGAGCAAAAAAGTTACCAAAACTTGATCTAACGTTAATCCCCATGATCAATAAATTTTTCATATATATATATTTTACCTGTTTACTCTTGAATATTTTTTGAATTATTGTACCATGATAAAGTTTTTTTTGTAACATGAGAAAAAGTTTCTCGAAAAGGTAGCTTGAAAAGTAGTTTGACAGATCCATAGAAATACAGCCATAGATAGATCAATAGAACAACGTAGCTGTAGGTTCACTTACCGTCCCAGGGTCTAAGTTTTGTGTTAGTCTGACAAGATGCATTGAGGAACTCCACTTCTAAATCCTTGTGTCTGTACCCTCCCAAGTAAGGCTTCTGAGATCCGAACCTCTCAATCTCCACGTTAATTGTCTTCATTTCACCTTCTATGTCCTTGACGGTAACTAAAACACGAATTAGTTATGATAATTTTACGACTCTCAAATCTTTCCTGCTACCTCGTATTATTATAAGACAGTTCAACTTTTTGAGATTTTTTGTACAGGGAAATAGTTAAAATTAGTTGGTTGTGAGCATCATCAAAAATGATTACGTCTCAAATGGCATAATTCCCAAATGGCATAAAAATGAAAAAATTCCCAAATGGCATAAATTTCATGCAACAGTTGCATTGAAAAAACGGAGAACAATTTTTTCGTGAACAATGTGAGAAAATTAGTCAAGTTGTCAATTCAAATGTTGATTGACATTTTATCTTGAAAAAGTTGAAGAATTTTTTTTATCAAAAGCAAGAAGCATAAGCTTGCGGTTATTAATAAGCTTCTAGTGGTCAATTTTTTTTCGACAAATTTGTTGCGTAAAATTTGTTTGGAAGCAATTAATTCCAAGTCTTGTTCACATGCTTTCGTTCCTGACAAAATGTTCGAATTAGAAATTGATAGAAAACGTTTAAACTACCATGAAAACTTGAAATTTATGCCATTTGGGAAAAAATTCCACTTTTATGCCATTTGGGAATTATGCCATTTGGGAAGTTACCATCAAAAATATTCAAAGCCAGTTTTTTGTTCAACAGAAAACTTACATTAAAACAGAGCCACATTGCGAGTAGTTGAAACTTTGCAGTTGGCTCAACTTGTTTCTTAAGAATGAACAAAAATGAGCCCAGAAAATATTGGCTCTTTTGCTCTCCCCCCCCCCCCCCCCCGCCTCACATAAGCATCGATTTCATGGTGTAAAGAGTTGTTATACAAGGTTGTTTATGAATACCAAATATGTTTCTCATAGCCTAATTAGTCTGCCTAATTTTTATGACAATCGGACAATGTGAGCAAAAGTGTTTTTTGTAAAATTTTGCAGGTGGGAGGGGGGAGAAGGAAAAAGAGCCTACAGTTTACAACATCAAACGTCATTTAAAATAGGATTCAAAGATCAAATTTCAGAAAAAAATCAAAGGGGGAACTTGAAAATAATTCAAAAGAGTTGCATGATAAATTAAGGTCTTAACTAACCATTAAGTACATCAGGCATTACATAATCACTCTTAGACTGCAACCGTTTTGTGACGAAATTAGAATTTGTCGAGTACAAATTAAGTTCAATAGTGCCAGCAGGAGTTGCACCCAGTTGTGCCAGGGTGATGTCGTCGTCCAGAATCTGGCCGCTGTATTGCAGTTCCAGGAACTCCTGCGGGATCTCCATGGCTCCTGATAGGAACTGTTTCAGGTCTCTCATGGGTTTGTCCACTGGAAACGCTGTTGTTGTTGTCTCGCTGGCAGCCAGAACTAGTTTCACTAAAAAAATGTTATTCAAGTATAAAATTATCAAGAAGGATTCCGCATAATTTCTCGTTAACCAAACTTAATCCTCAGTTTTTAAAAAAAAAAAATTCTTATTCACCCTTCGAAAAAATATTAAAATTAAGTTTAATTATCTTTTTGGAGCCCGATCTCTCGAAACTTCGTAGCGAAAAGAACTGTAACTTAGATCCCCCTTATCAATTGATATTGTCCCCTCCCCCCCTCGGAAGCGGTGCTTGCAGGGTGGGAGGCTTGAAGGCGACAAAAGTGAGTTGACCTCACCTGACACGTTGGCCTTGGAGAGTGGCGTCGTTCCAGACAGAGGAGCCCCCGAAGTCTCTTCAGACGTAATTGGAACATCAGTTTCTGAACAGAAAAAAAATCGGTTGCTTATCACATTTTTTAATAGACATTTTCATTCGGAGCTTATCACGTTTTTGTTGTGTTTGATTTGCTTAAATCAAGAACGAGACTTATTAGAGGTTTATCTGATTATCAGACAAAAATCTTTTTTCCACTCCCCACCCCCCACTTTTCAAATTTCCTGTTTTTAGAGTTGTTTTTACGTGTTTTTATGACTAGCCGCGTCAAATTACAATGAAACGTTTGAGGCACAAATCTGTTCACAATTGTTGTTTGTTCTTCATGCTAAGAATCCCTGCATTATGAAAACGTTAAAATAAACAATTTTTCAAAACTCAAATTGAAAGCTGGGAAAAAACCGAAAAAGTTAAACACTGGTGGGCAAAATTAAACACAAAATTAGGTTTTATTTTCTAAATCACCTAATTTCAAAAACGGGCTCTTTTCCAGTCCCCCCACCTTTCAAAATACCGAGTTTTATGTTTGTTTTACGTGTTATTACGGCTAAATGCGTGATGTTACGCTGTAAAGTATGAAGAGCAATACCTGTTCACAGTTGTTGATTTGTTCACCACGCCAAATTTCATTGCATTATGACAAGGTTAAATAAGCTTTTCAAAGTTGAATTTGAAAGGGGGGAACCGGAAAAGAGCCCAAAAACAATTTTGGATGATATTTACCTAAAATTTCAACTAATTTTTTATATCGTGTTTTTTTTTCTCCAAGTTATATGATCCATGTTATGGTATCAAGTCGACTACTGCTACAAGAGGCGTTATTTAATAATTTCCTTTGAATCAGTAAAAAACCGCTTAACGTTTTAAATCAATTTAACTTCCATTTGCCATCTGCATTGGTTTTTCTTCAAAAACAAATTTTTGGGCTCTTTTCCAGTTTCCCACCCCCCTCGTAAAATTACAAAACAAAGCTGTTCATAACTTGTTCACACGGCAATTTGCATGTTAGAAATATTGTAGAAATTTGTTCACCTGTTCACGCTGACACGTTTTATTGCAGTTTATAACATCAAAAGTTATTTTAAATAGACTTTCAGCTAATGGATTTCAGAAAAAATCAAAGGGGGGGGGGGAACTGGAAAAGAGCCAATTTTTGTAGTACCCAGAAAATAGGGTCAGCGGTGTGAGGGCAAACGTTTGTGGCTGATTCTAGGCAGAGTTGCTAGCTTCATTTGAATCTATTTTCTACTTCAAACAATTTGATGCCAATTTTGTTCTGAGGCACGTGATTCTGCTGGAACTCATTTTATTTATGTATAAAATCGTGAAAGAGATCTCAGATACTGTCTATGAAAGTAACATTACTTGATTGCAAGCCGTTACATGTTTATATTGGATCTGAAGTACCAGTTTTTACCATCTGCATTAATTTTTTCCAACGGCGTGAATTTGTAAGACACAGTCGAGCTTAGGAAAGTTATCACATTGAACAATTCAGTTTACTCGTTGAAAAAAATATAACATCAAATGATCACTTTTTAAATCCTTTTCTCCGAAAAATTTCCCTCGCAATAAAAATCTACTGTCTTGTGCAGATGGTGAAAACTGACTTTTTCACACCCGAAATAAACTGGTAAGTGGTTCAACGCCAAGCAGTTAAATTTCCTCAAAGGGTAGCCGAGATAATTTCCTCACGGTCGATGTAAAAATTTAGCTGAAATTATATGTAAAAACGTCCAAAACTGAAATTAAGTTAAAAAATTAGTTAAAAATGTCCAAAACTCTCCTTGAATTTCAGCAACTTAGTGAGTAAAAACCTAAATTTGCCTTTATTTTTCATCTGCTTGTGTAGTACAGCGCTCTTTCCCATTAAAACCCCCCAGTAAATATAGCATTCATAATGGTAAACCCACAAGGTAGGGGGGCTATACTTGTTTGTTACTAAGCTACGGGGGGAGTCTACTACCTCCGTCGCGGTTTTTTTAGAACAATTTTTTTGCCCGTTTAAAAACAGTGGACCTTGAGGCGTTTCCTGTGGCGTTGCTTCTGCATTTTGAGTTTCCGGACTTTCGTCTTGGTTTCGCCCTTCGGGCTTCTTAGGCTCTTCTGGAGTTCCGGGAACTTTTTCCTCTGCTTTTACTTCCTCTTGTCCAGTTTTTTCGTCGGCTAACTCCTCGCCTTCTTTATTCTCTGGAGTAACTTCGGCCGCTGCCGGTGTTCGGACAACCGAAAGGGACTCGGGTTCTTCGGTCGCAGCCGCTGTCGGCTCGGTTCCTTCGCCTCCTTGTTCAGCAGGCAAGGCATCATCACCCGCGATACTTTCCGTCCCTTCGCCATTAGGCTCTTCGGCTTTGACAGCTTCGTCGGCTTCTGTGCCTATCGGCTCCTTTGGAGTCTCGGCTGAAAGTTCGTCTTCGGGTAATTTTGGTGCATCCTCGGCAACTGTAATTGCCGGCGACTCAACTGAGTTGTCAATTACTTCCGCCGAGACTTCTGCTTCGGTGTTCTCGGCGCCGTTCGTTTGATCATCGGGCGGCGCTGCATTGCTAGCATCGGCAGCGGGTTCGTCGCCATTTTGTTCTTCGAGCTGTTTCTCGGCTAATGCCTCCTCGTTAGTTTCGTTATTCGGTTGATCTACTTCGGCGTTTTCTGGCTGAACATTTTCAGGTTCGTTTTCTTCTTCATTTTCAGCTGGGACGTTCGTTTCTTCAGCCGGGTCTCCCATGTTTTCAATGTCTAATCACTTCAAATCAAGATCAAATTCTTTTTCTGATGTGGTAATATCAATACACAAAATATAGACTGTTTTTACATAACGTGCATAGTATCACGCAAGCCAATTTTTGAGCGTGTTTTGAATGTTGTTTGAAAAAAATTACACGTGCGTTTTGCATTTTATCAGTTTTATCTTTTGGCTATTGTTATGAAAATTATGAGTATAAGAACCAGCAGAGAAAACCATTAAAATCTAAAATACTAAACATTTATTTTTTTAGCAAAAAACAGGTCTGTTTGGGTTAAACTGAGCACGGTTCTTAGCTATTTTCAGGTTCATGCCAAGCCCAAATTATATAAACTTCCCGTATTCTCGTACAAAGGAAATATCTGATTAATTTGACATCCCTTCAATTTTGTCATTTTAAAAAATCCTTTTTTTCCTGTCTACATTAGAAACATAAAAGTTGAAATTTTACAATGACAGGGAAAATGTAAAATTTCTGATTTTTTGAGTGTCATTTTTTTAGTGCTCCAAATTTTTATTACCCGGACTGATCGTATCAAGGTGTAATCCCTTAAACTTTTGAATAGGTTCTTTTACTTGTTTTGGGTATGCGTTGGAAAAAGAAAAAGCTCTTCCCCCCTTCCCCCCTTTTAGTTACAAGAATTTGCAGGTGGGGGAAACGAAAAAGAGCCAAAGACAACATTGAAAAAGCTTTTTAGCCCCGCTCCACATCAGCCAACAGCAAGTTATAGGTCATGCTTTCTGGTTTTCTTGGGCAATCAGTAAAACCAATTACTTTGCCTCTCCTCTTAATTTGGAAAAGCTTTGGAAGTGGGACAATCTACCGTGCTCAAATAACTTGCATCAATGAGCATCCTGAATTATTGTGTAACTTAATTCACAAAAATAATCGCCCATGAAATTTTTTGTCTGCTTTCAACTCAGGGTTTTATAGCCGAATACTCGATTTCTTTTTGATCTATAGAAATATTACCTCGAACGCTGAAATTGGTATCCTTAATTATATCAAGTACATGTATAAGTATTTCCTTACTATCATCAAATGTCGGAAAAAAGTACGCAAAATTTATATCTTCTTGCTCGCAATTTTTGGCTAGTCTGTTGTCTTATCTTTTTTTTCAGTTTTCGGCTCTTGTCCACAGCGTTCCAAGACTTTTTACATTTTATATTTTTATAACCATTTTATGTGTTATTATGGCTAAACAAGTGACGCTACGACGCAAGCTATGAAGAAAAAAATCTGTTCACAATAGTTTGCTCACCATGCCAATTTTTATACCATTTTGACTACTTTAGAATTGTTTTTCAAAAAATGAAAATGAAATAAAAGATGGGGGAGATGGAAAAATATTGTGTGATAATTCCCACGCAAACACTTTGCTTATCCAGGGTGCAACAATTCCCTATGATGATAATTTATAATTCAATCGCTATTTCAAGATCTCTTCATATTTTCAACAACATATTGCTGTGTCGTACAGTTTAATGAGCAAAATAATATTGCAGTGGATGCAAAGAAAGATCTAAGTCCAGCTACCTAAAGAAGTAACCCTTGGAAAGAATTTTTTGTTTTCGCACAATAACGTAAAATGCAAAACGAGCGCACCTAAAGTCGGTATTGCTCTCATTTTTTCAAAAAAATCCATCCTTAGTTTTATTTATCTAGTTGAAAACTTAACTGTTATGAAAAATAGCTTAATGGTTCTGCATATGTAATTTAAAAAAGCATAATCACACTAATTTCCTTTCTTAAAGCTTGCAATTTAGTACATCGAATTCTTCAGTGAGCAAATTAATGGTTCATTTCACATAACTGGTCAGCCTTACCATTGTCTTACGAGAAATGGTCATTACCTTGCCAAAAAACTCGCAATCTATTTTATAAATCTTGCTAGATTTTAATTTTAAAATCTTTATTTTTTTGAGAACTGAAGGTGGGGAGGATTTAGCTCTGGTTAGTTTTAATTTTTTCTACTTTTTTCGCCAAAAACTTACGTATCACAAAAAATTGTCGGAGGGGTTGAGTGAGATATTATTAAAAAGTCTTGCATTCAAGCTTACGTGTCTTACCCCCCATTACATTGATTATTGATTATTGTGAGAAAATAAAGATAAAAAACTGTGAAACAAATATAAAAACAACATAAATATTCTTTAAGCTAAATAAAATTTCGTTTTTTTTCTGTAACGAGTATTAGGCAAAATCATCACATAGGTTTAGTTCTGAATACACTGCATTGTGTTTGAAATTTAAAAAAAAGAAATGAATCATAATCCATAATAATTGAAAAAAAAATGTTTATATTTGGTTATAATAGTTTGAAATGGAAATTATCCATCAGAAAATGAATTATAATTCATTTTTATGAGATTATTTTTGATTGATTTTGAATTTTATAGAAAATGACAATGAAAATCAAATGTAACCCAATATTATCCTTGAAAATCCAGTACGGGGTTTGACTACGTTAGAATTATTTTTCAAAAAACAAAACTGAAAATGGGAGGGATAGAAAAGAGTCCAGTTTCTTTACCGCGACATCACTTTGCTTATCCAGGGTGCAACAACTCTAATGATGATTTATAATTCCCTCGGAATTTCAAGATTTACTCTTAAAATTGAAACAACACTGTGTCGTGCAGCTAAATGAACAAAATAACCATGTAGTGATTGCAAGGAAAGCTCTCAAACCAGCTACCTCATAATGTAGTAAATCTAAAAAAATGTATATATTTTTTCGCTCAATAAGTTAAGATGTTCAATCAGCGCACCTAAAGTCGGTATTGCTTTATTATTTTTTTGAAAATATGTCCTCATTCTTATTAACCTAGTTGAAAACCTAACTGTTATAAAATCAAGCAGAAAAATCCTGCGTATATAATTTTTAAAAAAGCACAATCCGCTAATTTTCTTTTTTCAAAATTTGCAATTTTTTACATTGAAGTGTTCAGTGAGCAAAAAAATGGTTAATTTCACATAAATGAACAGCCTTATCATTGTGTTTGCAAAAACTCTTGCATTCATAATAAAAGACCTACAATCCATTTTAAAATATTTGCTACATTTTCAAATCTATATTTTTGTACCGAAAACTTAAAGTAGGGAAGATTTTTCTTCTCGGGTTAGTTTTAGTTTTTTTCTACTTTTGTTCCAACAAAAAATCAGGATTCACAATAATTGTTGGAAGCGGTTGAGTGAAATTTTATATAAGAGTCTTGCATCCGTGATTAAAAAATTGCTACAAATCTCCGCCGTGCAGAGAAAATTTGTTTTGAAACTTTTCCTTTTCGGTCAATTTTGAGCAGAAACAGCTAATGTTCAGGCTTTTAACACACGAATAACACGTTGAAAGTTCGTTTTACTACAAGAATGGAGCTTTTTGAAGCTTTTTCGAAACCTTTTTAAACTTTTGGAAAAATTTGCAAAATTTCTGTTTGGTTTTTTTAATCTTTTTTTTTTCGATAAACAATGTTGTCGAAAATGCTTATTCTACTATTTTTTAATGTACTTTTGAGGTGACCTTACGTAGTGTCTCCTCTCTAAGCATGAATCAATTATAATAAATTATTTCTGCATAAAATATGCATTTCATAGAAATGCACAAAAAAAATTTTGTATTCGTTTTTTATGCGGGATTGCGTTTGTATGTTTTTGTTACCCAAGTTTTTATTTTTGTTCAATTTTTTTTGATAACAGCTTTAATTTTGAACAAACCTGGGCAATACTCAAATTTAATTATTGAAAAATCCAGGTTTACTCCCCCCTAAATCGATTTTTGGGGAGGGGGTGGGGGTGGAATTGTACGGTTGATCCAAAAATAATTCTGTTAACTTTAAATCTGTACTAAATTATTGAAAATAAGTTATGTAACAAGCAAAAATACTGAGAAACAAAATTTTGTCAAAAACGTTTTATCGGAAAATTACCGAGAAAAGTTCAATGCAAAAAAATTGGTGTCCATAGTTTTACCGAAAACTGAAAGTGGGGAGGATTTCTGTTCTCGATTTAGTTTCGGTTTTTTCTATTTTAAAAAAAATTCAAGAAATCTCCGCACTGTAGAGAAAAGTTGGTTAACGCTTTTTGATTTTTGGTCTAACTTCGATCAAATAAAGCAAGCGTTCAGGCTTATAACACGCAAATTTATTTTGAAGACGTTGAAAACTAAAATTACTACAAGAACCTTTTAACGCCTTACTGTGACCTCTCCAAGCGTGTATCAATTATGATAAATTATTTCTGTATAAAGTGTGCTTCAATTACGCGAGTTTTTATTTTAGTTCAATTTTGTTAGTAAGAAGGTTAAACTTGAACGAATCTAGGCTATACTCAAATATGGCTTATAAATTTTAAATATAGGTCCTTAAATTGATTTTGATCCAAATTAGTTCGATTATTTTGAAATCTGTACTACACTAATGAAAACAAGTTATTTTCCATGCAAAAACATTGAGAAAAAAAATTTGTCAAAAAAAATTCATCGAAAAAATATCAAAAAATGTTGGTAATCCAAGAAACAAAAGAGTTCAAAATTTTCAAAAATTGATTGAGATATGATTTTATATCACCAATTTTTTGGGGAAAGAAAAGTTTTATTGAAAAAATTTAAACTATTTTTTGCATTTTTTTTGCAAACGATACAATTTTAACCGACTGCTAGTCTTAATGATTTAGACTATCTTTTTAAGCTTTAGCGAGCACCGATACATTTGTCATCAATTTTCAACGAAGGTATTCATCGCATTATGCGCGAAACACATGTCAATGGAATCGAGAACTAATTCAAATCAGCAAAAAATCAATTATTATTATCGAGCTTGAATTACCTAAATCTAGTAAAAATTACTGTTATTTGAACTTATTTGCACGAATGCACGCCTGGTATTATAAAAGGAGGGGGTACAAGAATTCACAAAGTGGCGTAGCTCTATCCTGGGACAGACTTATTGTTGTTTGTTTTGACCTTTTTGCTTTTTTTGCACCAGTCTCTCAAATGATGCATAAAATGAAGCGGCGCTATAAATTACTCTCTAAGTGGAGAAAATGCCACAAATTGCACTCTAAATAGAAAAAATGCTCTCATAGAATCTATTTGAAGCTTTTTTTACCAGTCTTAAGAAACAGAAATTAGCATAAGACACTTAAA